TTTCACAATTTTTTTTTTTTACTTTCTCACATTCTTGTTTAATATATCTCTTCTCTTTTGACTTATTCTGTTTCTGAGAACAAAAATATAATATGTAAGGGACAAAAAAGCGAGTGTTAGACCATCTCTAACCGAACAAGGGTCAGATGGTTCATTTTAGTTTTATGGCCCTATAAGATATTGATATTGATACTAATATTTTAATGAATAGTACAGGACCATATTTGCCTCCATCTCCAACCAAGGGCCATATGGCTCGTTTTAGTCCTGTGACAAAAACCGTCTCCAACCGAGGCTAAAGGGCCATAGGGCCAAACATAATTTATTATTTAAATTTAAAAACTACAACAGCTTAAATTTAAAAAAAGGTGAAAATTATGTGAAAATTGGTGTATAAATGACTTTAGGTATTTATAGGAAAAAATGGGAATTTAAAAAAATAAATAAATAAATTTTGGCCCAAAAAAAAACAAAAAATTAAAAGAGGACAATCTGACAAAAAATGTATTAATAATGAAAAATCCAGCCCGCCTTGGGGCTAGCTGGCTGGATTGAGCCAGCCGGTTGGCCCTTTGGCCCTTTTTTGTCTAGTGGGGCTCACGAACCCTTTGGCCTAGCCCTCGGTTGGAGACAATTTTTGGGCTACTTTTGACCCTTTGGCCCTTTAGACCCTTCGGTTGGAGATGGTTTTAGGATCTAGGCTTGTGCATAATTGACGTTTAATTTTGGGTGGATATGAAAAAAAAACAGAACTGTGCAGAATCATCTTTCTACATCCAAATACACTAAAAATATCTAACTCTCTCAAATCTCACTTTTAAGCCAAAATCGAAGAGGAAAATAAATAAGACACATGGTAAGTACATTTTAACTTGTTACTTCGGAATCATATAAAGTCGTAAGAGATCGTGTCATTTCATATAAAGCTAGATTGAGTGCGATCTAGGTGATATTTGTGGGTATGTGTATGTTTGAATACATCTCCAACGCAGAAATTAAGCATGGATGCATAGTTGATAAGCCTTATGATCTGTTCACCTGTCATCTCTAAAGGAAGACATAAACACCAAACATATGCTCCAAATCAAATGGCCCAATGAAACGTGAGAAATAGTATAAAGACCATTTCCTTTCCTATATATAGATGAGCCTAAAATCAATGATTTTTCATATTTGCATAGCAAAAGCTCAAACAGATAGATAAGGAAAAAAAAAAAAAAAAAAAGCATATCATGCCTATCCCAATTTGTGCAGGAGTCCTTTCGACAAATGCTAAGCCCGAAATTGTTCGTCCGACGGCAAATTTCCCACCAAGCATTTGGGGAGATCGGTTCATCAACTATGATTCCCAAGACATTGTAATCTCTTGCAATTATCATGTCTAGATCTTATATTCCAGATTTGCATGTTGGGAGCTGCTATAGTACTCTAAAAAAATTATTCTGCATTTTACTTATTGAGAAAGTAAAGAGTAGAGCATTATGACTTTTTTGAGTGCTAATAACAATTTTAGTTCGACAAAAAAAATAAATTTGCATAAAATCTATCTTCACTTATTTAGTAAATTCTTTTTGGTGCAGACAACTCATGCCCGTAAGAAACAAGAAATCGACGAGCTGAAAGAAGTAGTGAGGAGTGAAGTATTCAAAATTATGGCAAGTGATTTTTCACATCAGCTGAAGTTGATCGATGCAATCCAACGCCTTGGCGTGGCGTACCATTTCGCAAGTGAAATCGAAGAAACACTGGAACGTATGCATGGCACGTTTAATGACCATGAAGATGTTGGTGGTGATCTTCACATTGTTGCTCTTGGTTTTCGGCTACTAAGACAACACGGATATAATGTTTCATGTGGTAGGTTTGAATATATTCATGTACACTAGAGTAATGTGAGTGAGCTTTGCCAACTAATAATTCTCCATTTTTTATAACAATAACAATCAAGCAGATATATTCAACAAGTTCAAAGATGCAAATGGCAAATTCATGGAATGCTTAACTGCCGACATTCCGGGCATGCTAAGCCTTTATGAAGCAGCACATCTAGGGGTCCGGGGTGAAGATATACTTGATGAGGCTCTTGTTTTCACCACCACTCACCTTGAGTCAGCTTCAACAACCAATGTAAGCTATCAGCTGGCAGAACAAACAACTCAAGCCTTAGAGCGACCTTTGCAAAAGGATCTAGAGAGGGTATGTGCCAGGCGTCACATGTCAATCTACCAAGATGAAGCTGCACATAACGAAGCTCTACTGAAACTTGCAAAGTTAGATTTCAATCTGGTTCAATCTTTACACAAAAAGGAGCTTAGTGAGATTACTAGGTAAGTCTTTGAATTAGTAAGCATATATAAAAGAGTTTGCAATTAGAGGTGGAGAATAGAGTCTCGGAATATAGCAAAATAATATAGAGTTTATATGTGTGAGTTCACTACAAATATATCATTGAGACCCTTGTGATAAACCTCATAGATGGTTAAATTAAAATAATATCGGTGATCTTGGTGGTGGATTATATTGATCCTAAAATGTTTATCAATTAGTACTCCATATATATACGTGTCTCTGTGTGTGTATTTTTAGTTGGTAACTAATTTTCTTTGATTAGGTGGTGGAAAGAACTAGACTTTGAAAAGAAGCTGCCTTTTGCAAGAGATAGGATTGTGGAGTTGTACCTTTGGATAGTGGGAGTATATTTTGAACCCCAATACGATAGAGCAAGAAAGTTTCTTACAAAAATTATTGCCCTGGTATCAGTGATGGATGATATCTACGACGCATATGCTACATTCAAAGAACTCGAGATCTTTACCGGGGCAATTGAGAGGTACTAATCTGAAGTAATTCAATGTATTTGCTTTTTAATAATTTAAACGTGACTTATTGTCGCAGATAAGTACTCCTAACTATATATATGCTTAAGATTAATGTGGTTTATGAAATTCTCAGGTGGGATATGAATTGCTTGGATGAACTCCCGGACTATATGCAAATATTTTATCATACACTTTTGAGTGTTATCAATGAAATTGAGGAAGAGATGGTCAAGGAAGGAAGATCATACCGAGTTTACTATACAAAGGAATCCGTATGTATACCAACATGCACATATATAGCTTTCAACGCTTACTTTTAATTAAACATATATGATCAGAAATTCTCTATGCACTATGCAGTACGTTCGAATGGATTTGTATAGATATTAATACGTCAGTAGGTTTGTTGACAATGATATCGACACTTTATTAAGAAAATTATTATTAGCACTTCAAAAATTTCATTTTGCACTCTTCACAAGTGTATTTTTCTTTCTAATTATAAAAAGTTTGGAGTGCAAAATGAGATTTTTGGAGTGCCAATAACAATTCCCTATATTAATACAGTATCCATTGTTCAGTAAAGAATTACGCAGTTTAAGTAGAAATGATATTCGCATGTGTAGATTATGTCATGACTAATACTATAGTATTATTTTTTGGGTACATTACAAAAAACTACCTCAACTATTGAGTCATTAACAGTTTCATACCTCGTCTTTAAAAAGTTTCAATGTCATACCTTATCTTCGAATTTGTTGCAATGTCATACCTTCCGCCAGTTGAGTGTTAGTTTTTTCAGTTAAATGCTGGACTTGGCTGTGATCCTTAAATGTATATTCCCATCCCTTACAGCACAAGGCTTTTTGGGAGCTCACTCGCTTCGGGTTCCATCGGAACTCCGAAGTTAAGCGAGATAGCAGCGAGAGCAATCCTAGGATGGGTGATCCACTGGGCAGTTCTCGTGTGAGTTCCCAGAAACAAAATCGTGAAGGCGTGGTCGAGGCAAAAGCGGACAATATCGTGCTACGGTGGAGTCGAGCCCAAGATGTGGTGGGGGCTTGATTTGGTATCAGAGCCAATCCATGCTAGAAGTGTGCCGACGAGGACGTCGGACCCCTAAGGGGGGTGGATTGTAACATCCCACATCGCCCAGGGGAGTGATCCTTAAATGTATTTTCTCATCTCTACCTAGCACGAGGCTTTTTGGGAGCTTACTGGTTTCGGGTTTCGTCGGAACTCCGAAGTTAAGCGAGAAGGTGGGCCAGAGCACTCCCATGATGGATGACCCCACTGGGAAGTTTGCTCGTGAGTTCCCAGAAACAAAACCGTGAGGGTGTAGTTGGGGCCCAAAACGAACAATATCGTGTTATGGTGGTGGAGCGGACCCGGGAAGTGGTTCGCCCCGGGCCGGGATGTGACATTATAATAATAACACATTCGGCAGGCTAGAAAAGTATCTCTCTCCTGCAGTGAATTTTCGGTTACAAGGGGAAACCAACATTTTCCATCTCGTCTTCCCAAGCCACTTGAGCTAAGACTCGTACAGAGGTTTTATTCCACTTAATCGTATAAAAAAAGAAAAACTAACATAACAATGAAGCAAATGAAATTTGACAACATCTTCATGAGTACTGAGACATCATGTTCGCATCATTTTACTTGCGCTTAAGCACGGCAAGAAAGATGATTGCAGTTTCAGTCGCTGACGCAATGATGGAGGGTTGCTCTTCAAGTTTTCTTGAGATACGAGTCAAAGAGCTCATCTAAGATTTCTTCTCCGAATTGCTGCTTGATGACTTCCTCAAAGGCAGCTCTCGCGAGAGATACAAAGAGTTGGCTTGGAGAGAGACAGTGGGAGGAATCGGAATGTGAGGTACTGTTTCCAACTTCTTTAAACTAAAATATTCATTTCTTTCTACAGCAGCTTCCAGTTCTTGGGGAGTCATGTAATACACAGGAAAGTTAAATGTATCTACTTTATCTTCACTTACTTACTACTCCCTGCGCAAAGGAAAAAACACATGGAAGCCATAAATAAAATTTCTTGTGTAATTAAACGCAAAACAAGAAACAGAAATACCATTGCTCACCTTCCTAGCCATGTCCATGAGGCAAGACCCTATAAGTTGAAAGCTCACATTTACCACAGAGTCAGAATGAAGAACAGTATTGGGCCGGCCTAAAATGACGAGTACCATGATTCCTCCGTCTGCAATCTCTTGTGCCCTGGCATTCAGAAAGCACTCCATGTCCTCAGCATGTTGAGCTTCGTAAGCCCTTACAACTTCATCAGGGGAGTTTGAGTAATGAATTCGTCCTTTGTTCCATGCTGGACTGTTTTTGTCCACCACCTCTTTTGGTACTCTAGAAAGCCAATGAAGGGCAAAAGTTGAATGAAAAAAATGAATAGACGTACTAGGAAATAGACGACCATAGAAAGAACCCGGCACGCCCGCAGCGTAGTATCGCCTGGTCTGCGGGAGGGATTTGAAGAGCCTGTTAAAATCATTCAGAGTATGATCATTAAAGAAGACCTGAAATTCAGGGATCTGCGGATTCAGCCCTTGGCTCTGAAACTTGAATTCCACAAGCTTCGATTATGTTTTCAACTGAGATAAATGTGTTTTGGGCCCGACAGAGCAACCCAAAATCAGCAATGTAAAAGGTGTTAGAAGATAACAAATCGAGCTTTTCTGCAAACTGCCTTGCTTAAAGTTTTTTTGGCACCATCCACCGTTCCTTTCTGCAAGGATTTACAAAATACAAAATCATTGTTCGAGTTACCGGTTGTGCCTTAGTTCGTCCTGAATTTCGTATACAAAGAGATCAAGGACTTCGATAAAAGTGAGCACTACAAAATAAGAGACTTTGAAATGAATTCATATAAACCTGAAAAGTTGAGTTGTTGGCATAGCTGTTGGGGCCATCTCCACCTTTCATTGGATACTCTTCGGAGAACTTACTTGTTTCCTCGACTGCAGCCATCTCTCTCTTTCTCTATGTTTCGCTGTTGTGTATGTCATGTATTGTATCATGGGGGGTCATTATTCTTATATCTGCATTTCGGCCGTTCCTACTCTGCTACTTGACGCTATGAAAAGACAAAGTAAAACAATTAAAATTTAGGAAACGTGAAAAGCATTGGAAAGTAAGACAAACTGGTTGTCTTTTTCTGATTGTTGAGAAAGTCTTTGTTTGTCCTTTCTCCCTTGTCTCCCTCCTTCGCCCCCTTCCTATTCGCCTGATTCCTTCCATCTTTGATCGTCCTTCTGCGTATGTCTGACTTTTACATTCAAAGATGTTGTCTGCACTAGGGATGGGCAATGGTTATGCGGGCAGGTAACCGCGGTTAATTTACCCATAACCATTTATACTCATACCTGCATAGCCGTTTACCCGTTGGGTAATTGCCTAAACGGTTATACTCATACCCATAACCGTTTATAAACGATTAAACATATTCATAACCGTATACTCATTTAACCGTAACCGTTTAATACCCGTTTACCCATTTATCCTTTTTAACCCCCTTATCTTTTTTTGTTTTATCATTACCCTTTTTTCACATGTCTACATGTTTTTTAACAACTTGAAAATTAAAAAAAAAATTGTCATAATTTTTTTTTTGACAATTAAACACCAGTATAGGTACATTCATCATACATTTCCATATTTTAATTTTTTTAAGTCCTTATACCATTCCAATAATTGAAATAATAGTTTATGGACGATATTTTTAATTGTTACCAATGAAGGTAAATATAATATTTGCTAAGTATTATTGGGTTACAAAAATTGTTTAGAAGACATTTCTGTCAAAGCATTTTTGTCAATTTCACGGTTACCCGCAAGAAATTTAAATTAATTTAGCCAATTCCTTGATGATGAGAATCATCATTCTTGTAGTAGTGTTATTAAGAGAATGACCGATGAATGCCTTGCTAATTTATTAGATGCTAAGTATTATTGGATAGAGAACATGGTTTGTGTTAGTTTTACATATATAAAATAAATGGATAAACGGTTATCCGTTTATACCGTGGTTAATACCCATAACCGCCTATTTAAATTTCACGGGTAACTGGTTATACCCATAACCGTTTATTTAACTAAACGGTTACCTATAACCGTAACCGTTTAATTTAAATGGGCAGGTAACCGCGGTTACCTATAACCAATGGGTATTTGTCCATCCCTAGTCTGCACCACCATATCCAAAATGTTGCTGCTAAACTTGTCCATGTCGAAACTAAAATATTGCCCAGCGTGGGGCATTCTATGTTATATGCTGCCTATAGTTCTTGGAATATAAGATATATGCATATTTGGGAACGTTACATTAATTGTTGGTAGATTAAAAGGTCTCTACTTTTTTCAAACCAATGATGCATAATAAAACTTTGCTAGGTCAAAGATTAGCAAGATATGAACAGGGGTTGTCCAATAGTTGAGAACGAATTCGAGGTCTATATTTCACATGGCACGTTCTAGGTTTGATTCTTAATGTTGTTGAATCACACGGTGATGGCCAGACAAAGTTGAAATGTCTTTATGGGTCTTCCTGAAAAGATGGATTACCGTGACGAAACAACCTACTGGTCCGCAAGGGTAGATGAGTTCTTATTAATAATGTCAAGTTTACATTATGTCAAAGATTAGCAAGATATGTGTAACACCCACCCCCTAGTTATAAAAATATATGTATGTAATTACCCCAAAATGTTTTAAATATATCATTTTGGTCCTATTTTGACTACCAATCAGAAATTAGAGCTTTGGATTCCTTTTCTTTTTCAACTGCCACGTGGCAGCTCCCCCTTCACGTCTCTCTCCTTCTTGGCTCTCTCTTATCTCTCTTCTCTCCCTCTCTTCACTAAATCGCACAAACACCCACACACTGAGACGCACGCGTACGCGAGGAAGAACCATCACCCATCATCATCTCGTCCTGTTCTCTCTCCCTCTCGTTTCCGCGAACCCAGAAAACCGGAAAGGAACTTCGGCGAGATTTTTGTATTTTCCGGTTAGGTAAGCCTCAAATCCCTCTGTTTCGTCCTTGAATCTTGTGAGAATGGGTTCTAATTGAGTTTCTATGTGTGATTGTGGAGGTTTTAGGACGAAATCGAACGCGGGTGTAAGCACACCCATTTCCGGCTAACCGGAAATGGGTGTTAGAAGATAACAATACGTCTATGTCGAGCTTTTCTGCAACTGCCTTGCTTAAACGTTCCTTAGCAGCATCCACATATCCTTTCTGCAAGGATATACGAAATACAAAATCATTGTTCCTTAGTTTATTCTGAATTTCGTATGCAAAGAGATCAAGGACTTCGATACAAGTGCGCATCACAAAATAAGAAATTTTGAAATGAATTCATATAAACCTGCAAAGTTGAGTTGTTGGCATAGTTGTTGGGGCCATGTCCACCTTTCATTGGATACGCTTCGGAGAACTTACTGGTTTCCTCGACTGCAGCCATCTCTCTCTTTCTCTATGTTGCTCTGTTGTGTGTATCATGTGTTGTATCATGAGGTTCATCATTCTTATATCTGCATTTCGGTCGTTCCTACTCTACTACCTGACACTATCAAAAGACAATGTAAAACAATTAATTAGGAAACTTGAAAAGCATTGGAATGTAAGACAAACTGGTGGTCTTTTTCTGATTGTTAAGAAAGACTTTGTTTGTCCTTCTCCCTTGTCTCACTCCTTCGCCCCCTTCCTATTCGCTTGATTCCTTCCGTCTTTGATCGTCCTTCTCCATATGTCTGACTTTTACATTCAAAGGTGCTGGCTGCACTCCCATATACAAAATGCTGCTGCTAAACTTGTCCTTGTCGAAACTAAAAGATTGCCCAGCGCGGGGCTGTCTATGTTATATAGCTGCAGCCTGCCTATAGTTCTTGGATTATAAGATATATATGTATATTTGGGAACGTTTCAATAATTGTTGGTAAAGTAAAAGGTCTCTACTTTTTCCAAACCAATGATGCAGAAAACTTTGGTAGGTCAAAGATTAGCAAATATGAACAACAATGGGGTGGCCCACTGATTGGGAACAAATTTCAAGTCCGTATTTCGAATAGCAAATTTTGGATTTGATTCATGGTATTGGTGAATCATATGATGGTGGTCAGGAAATATCTCTGTGAGTCTTTCTGGCCCCCAAAAAGGTGGATTGCCGTGACGAAACCACCCGTTGGTCCACGAGGGTAGAGGTGTCGCATTAATAATGTAGAGTTTACATTCTACAAAGGTTCGAGCATGTTGAGGAAAAACTTAGAGTACACAAGAGACAACACAAGTAAACAAATTACTTGTATTACACACACAAAGTATTACAACACAAACTCTTAAGGACACACTTGAGAAGCTATTACACTCACTCACTTTCTAGAGACAAACTCTAGACCACTCACACTCCTCACAAGACTATTCTTGCTTCTCACTCTCACTTGGTTGCCTTCTTCTTCTTGGCTACAAACTTACAACACCACACCCATATTTATAGGGCATGTTTGTCGACTTATACATTCACTAGAATTTTCTAGTGTATTGATCATGCACACTTTTCCATCTCTTTTGCTAAACCGACTTACCTAGTCGGTGAGATTGAGTTCTTCCAATTTCAGCCAATATGTTTCTAGATTCTACCACAAACAAAAACAGTTTATATGTTCTTAAGCATAAGGCGGTGGACTTGACTATACCACTAATTGCTGCACTTTGATAGAGTTTTCTAGCATATCACTTTGTTGATGCACAAAACCGGAGGTCTTGGAACAACATAAATCTGACCGTGAATCTGCAAGAAAGTAAATAACACAAGATGTATCATGGTTCACCCCAATGTTTGGGCTACGTCCACACTGATATTGTATTTCTCTGAGAGGATTGTAAGGGAGAGAGCCTTTGTAATGAGAGGATGAGAGTTTGAGGGTGAGGGGGCTTCAGGCCTAAGGATTAGCCTCTCCTAATGAGGAGAGTGAATAGTCATTTTATAGAATAAGGGCTCATCACTTATTACATATTTGCCCATTCCTTTATTACATAATTACATTTAAATCCCCCGAGTATTATACGAGATCTAAATACGGAGACCCTAAGTATGGTACAAATAGTAGTCCCCCAAGTCTTCAATTAAGAGAGTCTTTTGGCTGGAGACTTGAAATTCAGTCCATGTGTGGGCCGAAGTAACTAGATGTCGTCTAGGACTGATACTCGATATGAGGCGGTGCTCAATCTGAAATGATGTTCAACTAGAAGTAGCACATGTTGCGAGGCTGCTCTGCTTGTGGCTTATGTTGCCTTGGTTGGCTCGGCTTGTGGCATTGAAGGTGAGGGAGTCCCTTTTATAGAATAAGGACTCGTTCCTCAATACATAAGTGATGGGTTAGGAGTGATGCATGCGACGAGGCGGTTGCTCAGCTGGTGACGATTCTCTCTAATGAAAGTGAGGGAGTCCCTTTTATAAAATAAGGGCTCGCTCCTCAATACATAAACGATGGGTTGGAGTTGATGCTTTCTAATGATGGTGAGGGAGTCCCCTTTTATAAAATGAGGGCTCGCTCCTCAATACATAAGTGATGGGTGCTT